GATGCATTTTTTATTATTTCACACCTGTCCATTCTTCTATTGCCAGGCTAAGCAGCTGAAAGTAAGTCATAAAAATGCATACTTTTACTGCTAGAAAGAACCTTAGACTCTGCTCTGAGATTTCCTTTCTCTGATCTTACCCCATTCCCTACTTGGCCTTCCAAGAGTGAGTCCATACAGAAGATGTTGCCTTTGGTTAATTATTAAGCATAATTCCTATCCTTTATTCCTCTCCCTATGTAAAAGCTCCCTGGTGCAATAAAAAAGGAAGCTCTGCTTTTTATTTCTAGATAAATTGGGTCTAAACTGTGGCCTTGGGTTCTGTGAAAATGCTCAACTGGTACACAGTCACAGATCATTTTAAGGGTATCCATTTCCAGATCCTCAACTTTTATAGATATTTTTACCCAAAATCAATTTGCTTCAGGATATGCTTCATTTATATCAGATCTCTTGATTTCACGTCCTTCATGCAGCCTAATATGAGGATTTGCCAGGGTGTTAAAGTAAAACAACCACAAAAACTATAAAATATGGATTCAGAGGAAACTTTTGAAAAATTGACAAATAATATTATATTAGTTTCAGGTGTAAGACATGACTTAATATTTATGAATATTGAAAAATAATTATCAAAAGCCTATTTAACATTCATCACTTACATACTTAGCAACATTATTTTCCTTGTTGCAATTCAGTGCTTTTAGTATATTCACAAAGTTCTACAGTCGCCATATTAATAGTTTTAAAACCTTCCATCATCTCAACAAGAAGCCCTATGTATCCTTAGCCTGCACCCTGGGAGCCCCTCCATCACTTCCTTTGCCCTCCTCCATGGTCCTGGCATCCACTGATTTGATGTTTGTGCCTACAGAATTTGCTTATTCTGCATGTTCCATATAAATGAATCCTATGATATGTGAGTTTTCATCACTGTCTTCTTTCACAGTGTTTTTAAGGTTCACCCATGTTGTAGCATGCATCAGGATTTCATCTCTTTTTATTAGTGAGTATGGATTCTACTGCATATCCACTGTGTGGATATATCACATTTCTCCCTTTGTCAGCTGATGGACAGACTTTTGGATCATTTTCACTTTTTTGGCTATTATGAATAATGCTACTCTGGATTTTTATGTGGACCAAAGGCTTCCTTTCTCTTGGGTATTGTGCTTTGATTTGCATATCATTGGTGGTTAATAATATTGATCATTTTTTTCTGTGCCTATTGGCCATTTCTCTATCTTCTTTGGAGAAATGGCTATTCCTTGCCAATTTAAAAAATTGGATTATTTATCTTTTTATTATTGGGCTTATAAGGGTTCTTTATATGTTCTTGATAAAAATTCCTTATCTGGATATATGTATTTTTTCCCTATATGATTTTTAACACGTAGGTATGAAAGCTCAAAGAGTTAAAAGGCACTGTATCAGAGAAAACTTCTGTTGTCATCTATTTATGTAAATATGCTTTCACAGCCCTTATTTTACAAAATAGGGATAGAATTGATCTGAATCCTACTTATTCTAGCTATGTCATTATTTATCTTTGGAATATAAAAACCTAGTCTTGATCAAATAAAATAATTTTCATTAAATATTTCTAGCTAAAAACTTACTATTTATGGTCAATAATTATTAAATAAATACATAACTAGTATATGTTATTTTGACTTCTTATTCTGTATTAACAATTATAGCCATCAGTTAATGTAGAAGTTTTTCAAAATTAGAGTTTATGGACTTAATATACTAAATAAATTATAGATTTTAATATGTAGGAAATATAGCAGGGAGATCACTAAAACATCCTGAGCTATAACAATAATTACAATAAATGTTGATATCTGTAAGAGCTGAGAATTCAGACTCTTTAAAATATTTAAACTTGTACTAAAATTCTTCAGGTGTTACATGAAAAGCTTGAGAATCTTATTTCCTGTAAGCTATTTCTTTCTACTTTTGTCCCTATTAGAATCACCTTTCTTATGAATGAGGAGCAGGATGAGGTAGTCTTAAATTTCCTTAGAGTGGACAAGAGTTTTTAACATGGGCTTCTGATAGTTGTTTGCCGTATGAAATTGAATGTAAAATTTAGTCTGTGCATGTGTTTCCCTACTTCAGTAGTTCCACAATGTTCATCTGATTCTTAATGAGGTCTGAAACCTAAAAGGATTAAGAACCATGGCCTACTAAGACATCTCATTTGTTTCATGCTACCTTCTCATGTTATACTGAATACCCATGATGCACTGTTGCATTTACCATATAGGTATCATCATCTGCTTCTTGGGTATGACAGGCAGTTTTGTGTATTCTCCCAATATTTACACCATCACAGGAATATTTACACCATCACAGGGCAAGTTCTGGATTCAAGTTTTTCCATTATTCTCTAAGGGAATAGTTTTTAAAAATCCAAACCAGCATCTCTTTCTTTCTATGCATTCATTAATTCATTCACTAAGTACTTACAGCATGCCTCCTAATGTGCCATTTACTATTCCAGGGTCTAGGAATGCAATCAATGATGAACAGTCAGACAACATTCTTTCTTGGAGTTTCTTTTCTAGAATAGGGATACTAGGGAAAAAAAAAAAAAGATCATCTTGAGCACATGTAAGTACTATGAAGAAAATAAAACAGGGTGATGTGACAGTAAGTATTATGAATATATGGGATTCCTTAGAAGTGTGAGGGTCAGACTCTTTAAGGAGTTAACATTAGAGCGGAATGAAGCCTGAGTGATGAGAAGAAAGTAGCCAAGAGATGAATACAACTGGTGAGACCACCAATTGGAAACTGGTGAGACCACCAATTGGAAAGTCAGGGCTTGGTGAATACTGATCAGTATTGAGATTGGAGAGGCACTGATGAATTTTAATCAGAAGAGTAACTGACTTGGTTTTAACTACTGTGATAAAATGGATTGTATGGGCCATATGACTTGGAAAGGGGTAGAATTATGTATGAAGGAAAATTTAAGATATACTTTGAAGGTAGAGCTGATTGGACTTACTAATAGCTTGGATATGAGTTGTGAGGAAAAAAGAAGAACTGGGTAGCTCCTACGAACTTGATTTTGAACCACTGGGGGAATGATGGATTAGATTTAAAGACACTGTTAATATTTGGGACACCGATTAAATGGAAGTGATAAAAAGAAGTATCATTGGATACATGAGTCTGGAATTCAGGAGTGATGTCAGGGGTTGAGATAAAAATATGGGATTCTGGTCCCTCCCTGGTGGTGCAGTGGGTTAAAGCACAGCACTAAGATGCTAAATCCACCTCTGTATGAGTTCAATCCTGGCCCCAGAGGTGACCCACATGGCACAGCAGATCTCTCCTGATCCACCAACTGCTCCACTCAGCAGTGTACTTCATCCATCTGCTTGTTCTGCTCCCCACTCTGTCTCTGGTGAATCCTCTCACCATCCCTGCACCTCTGGTCTATACCCCAGTTCTGTATACATAAATAAATAAATCTTAAAAAAATAAAATGGGATTCAGGAACATATAGATGGTATTTAAACCACTGTGGTAGGTTGAGTACAGGCCCCCATACACATCCCTGTAACTTGAAAGGACCTATTGTGCAGAAGGTATTTAAAATAAGTGATGTGGAAACCTCACAATAACCACGCAAAGTCGGCATTAGCATCCACTTAACAGATGGGGTACCTGACGCTGAAGTGGAGAGCTTTGTTCTAGGCTTCAAAGCTAGAAAATACCCCAGTCTCGCCGTAACGTGTCTTACAGAATTTCTGCATTGGTAGGAGGTGGTAAAGAAATAATTGTTCAGTGTGCTTTGAGACACACTGGTCCTTTGTAGCATACTGTCTTGGCTGTCAAAAATATGCTTTATAAACGTATTTCCAGACGCTTGCTCCAATCTTTGCCCAACTTATACTTCCAGAGCCCTCGCTAGCCCAATCATATCACATTGACCACTACCATCACTCCCCAGCTAATTACTTCTGGAAGGGCTCGGTGGGTTTATAACACAATGGACACCACATACAGAGCTCGAGAGCTCTTTCGAGGCATTTAACTTTCACACAATAATGACAATTACTCTTATCATCTCTGAAACAAGTTAAAAAGGTTAGATTGCTGGGGAATCAAGTCAAGAGCAGAAGTGGTTCCTTCAAGAGGCTGGGAGAGTAGGAAGAGTGAGATGTAGGGTATAGCCCTCACTTGAACCTAAAGTAACCCTGAGCTATTAACTTGGTCACCTGAGAAAACGAGGTTGACACTGCGTCTGATCTCTAAGCTCCCTCAGAGATGCTTGAGAAATTCTTTTTTCACCCTTGGAGTTTCCAGTCTTCTGTCGTATGGGAAGACCTAAACCGCCCAGGAGTAATCGCCTGCTCAGTCGGGAACTATCACTCAGAGACTGGTTCGGGACACTATTTGGCCAATTGCTTTGGAGGCCGCCATGTTCCTTAGATCAGGATAACTGAGACGTGGACGATAGGTTATTCCAGGACAAGATGAGGAAGTTCGGAGAAACTACAACTCAAGGGGCTCAAACGGTACCCCTCGCAGCCTGGAGCGGGTGCACTTCGGTAGCGGACAGCGGCCCGGGGCCACGCTTCATTGTTTCAGCAGTTCAGGAACCGTGCGCATGCTCAGTCATCCCAATTAGTTAAGCTTTCCTTCTCGCGGAAATACTCTTTCAGGTTTTTTTCTTGCCGCGCTTTTCCCCGCCCCACCTCCGCCCTCTTTTCAGGGATTTTTAGAGGGGCGGGGCCTCTGGCAAGCGCGTTCACCGCGAAGTGTGCACGCGCGTTCACGGCCGATTAGAGAGGGAGGGAACTAAACACTGGGTGTGGAAAGCGGTGGAGGGTACGAGGTAGGGGAGGGAAAGCGCATGCGTCCTAGCAGCACGCGGTAGGGCTTGGAGTAACGGTGGAGGGGCGGGGCGGAAATGAGCTGTGAGCTGACGCACGCGCATTGAGCTACTAGCGCCCGCCTCCTTTTCCAGGTTTGCCCTCCTCCTCCAGCGCCGTTCCGGAAGTGCAGCCGCCCTCGCGCCCACCAGCGGCCACCCCCTGCGGCAGGCCCCGCCCCTCCAGGCTCCGCCCCTTAGTTCTCCGCCCCTTGGCTCTCCGCCCCCTCCTTTGGTGGTTGAGCCGGGTTGCATCCCTGGCGGTGGCGGTTTCGGTACCCGAAGCCGGGAGCGCAGAGTCGTTCCCGGAGCGGCGGCCAGGCTATGATCACCGGTTCCCGGTGTCCCGCTCCGGCCAACCATAGTCCTTGTCTTAGCCAGTTCCAGTGTTCGAGCGGTCTCAGCCCGGCCTCGCAGCGTGGTTGGCGGCGGCACCCCTGGCGCGCCCCCTCCTCTGATGGCGGCGGAGATCCAGCCCAAGCCACTGACCCGAAAGCCGATCCTGCTGCAGCGGGTCGAGGGGTCCCAGGAGGTGGTGAATATGGCCGTGATCGTGCCCAAAGAGGAGGGCGTCATCAGCGTCTCAGAGGACAGGTACGGACTACTGCCCCTCGGCCGCGGAGAGGGGCGGGACCGACCGGCAGTCCAGAACCCGTGTCTGGGACTGTGCTTCCACGTAGGCGCAAGTGTAGACGTGCTCCCTCAAGTTTTTATTTTAATGCGCATCCAGGTTCTGGCGTTCCGCTGCGCGCCGCCGCGGCTAAGATGCTTGGAGATACACAAGCGGGACAGCGGCGTGCGCTCTGGCCTCTCCCGTGGCGGGATGGGGCTTGGGTCGCCCTTGAACTAACAGTGCGCGGGTCACTGGACCGTGGTCCAACTCGGAGGAAAGGAGGGAAAAGGAAGAACTGCCCGACCCTTTAGGGCTATGTGTGTGTGTATGTGTGTGTGTACGCGCGTGTGCGCGCGCGCGATGGTCTTTGGACCTTGATCCAACTCCGAGGACAGAGGAGAGACGAAAGAGCTGTGGGACCCCTCAGTGCAGTGTATGGAGGATGCTGCCAGCGGCCTTTGGAATTTAAGGGTCTTTGAATACTCTGTACAGTTCTTAGGGTTCACAAACTGAGAAAGAAGTGTCACTTCCATCTCCCATAATTCCTACCCATTCCCGATCTCCCGGACATCGCAAGCTGAATTCAGTGAATATTGCAAGTTTATAAGGGATAACTGGGCTTTCTCCGTAAAGTATGGGTGTACTCCTATCTTTTGCCTTCCTTTTAATTTCTTAGCGCTCAAGGGAAAACGCATAGAGTTTGTAAGGGACCATTGCCGCAAATAGCTCTTGAGTTCCTTCCCTTAGCTGTTTCCTTTCTTTTTGCTTAATTTTGCAGAAGTGGAGCATGTTGTTTGCCTTCATTAGTCTCTCTTGTTTTTCAGACAATAGAATTTTTGTTTTAACTTAATATCCCTTAATACGCAGAAATTAGGCTGACAGTACTAATCTTCATAGGAACGCTGCTTTAATTTAGCAGTTAGAATAATCTATCTGGAATTGTTACTGTCTGCCTGATATTATTAAGTAGCATTCCAAAAAGTGTAATATGGTATAGATGTTTGACAGGGGCCTTATCATTATAACAGTAGTTAGGGGTTTTTTTTAAATGAAAATTCAAATTATGCTGAGAGAGAGAATTTTTTGTTTTGTGACTCAAAATTGCAAGCAGAGGTATAATAGCAAGGTATTTATTGCTGTCTTTATTGTCATTTGACCTCTTTGCATGTAGTGTGCCTCAATAAATTTGCTTGATAGATTTATTCACATTGTACATTTTTCATGTTGTAGATTATTCAGTTTAACTGGGATGAATATATTAGTGACATGTTCTTGTCAACATGTTCTTATCTACATCGTATTCGGTACAAATGGCCAAATGGCACTTGATTCATTTTCCATGCAGGTTCAATAGAAAACACTGTAAACATAAACCACTGACAAGCAGTTTGCAATGAACAGAAGAAATTCATGGCTGAAATGGAATACTTGAATGTAGAAACCTTTTGAAGTTCACAAAAATCTTTATGTATATTTAATTTTCTGGTAGAGGCATAACTTATTATTTCTGGACTGCTTCTGAACCTAGAATTTTTTTTTTTTTTTTTGGTCACAGGATTGTGTTTAAAGGAAAATACTGATAGACATCACTTTCTCAGTCCTAATAAATTTTTCTTAACTAGTTGTTAGAGATGAACCGGCACAGTGTAACTGTATTCATGAATAAGTTCATTGAATCAAATAAGAGGACTAAGGTAATTAAACTTAATCTACTTTTTGCTTTGGTTGATGGTTGCAGAGTAGAGAGATAGGTTTTCATAGTTTCTAAAACTCTTAACAACTTCATTTTATGCATGAGAAAGTTCTAAATTTATGCCAGAATTCATGTAGGTGATGGTGGAGCCAGGCCTAGCTCCTAGGTGTTCTGATTCACATTCAAGTGCAGTTACCTCAAAGGAAATAGCTAGTGGGATACATTTCAAAGTATTTGGAAAAACTGAAATAGCATCTCTGAAAGAGCTGAAGGGTAAATTTCATTTGATTATAGTACAAAAGAAATGCAGTGTTTAGCTATATTGGTTTTATTTTCATTTAATCTAATTTATAATGTTAAAATAGAAAATATTTGATTACAGTTACTGTTAATTAAATAAGACCTATCATTAAAGTCAGGATTATTCTTTATATATATTTTATTGTTACTTATATCAACAAGTATGTTTCTGTAGGTCATATACTCACACATGAAAATAACTTGGTTATTTAGAGTTCAGTTTCAATTATGGTTTTCCTTAATAGAGAATTGATCTGTATTCTTGCTTCTCAAAACCTACTGTTAATATTACTTGACTTAATGCTAAAGATTTGAAGGTAGACTATTGATTTTTATCAAAACCTACAAAGCCATTGCCATTAATTGCTTCAGATGAAGGCTTCAGATGAAAACATCTTCATTCCTGAACTGTTAAGTTAAGCCACAATGATGTTCCATTCTGAACAGCAATGTTCTATAAATTCCTTTGAAACCTTGGTTACTTCTAATCTCTGACTCCTGATAATCTTTACCTATACCTTTGAAAAAACTTAATATTAAAAATAGCTGTTCTCTACTTTTTTTCTTTATGATTTCTTTAAGATGTTATGGGATCTTGTTAGGGCTGTTGTAATACTTGGACACAATAAACCTTCAATTAAGTTTGTTGTATCAGTGACTGATCTGTTTTTGTTGTAGTTCCTGAAAGTACAGCACCTTAATTATTGCAGACACTTAATTATTATTAAATGGCTTTTTGGACAGACTGTGAAAGTCCTATGTGGACACATGTACACTATGGGAAAAGTGTCAGGATATCATTTGATAGAGTTAAAACTTAGTCTCTGCACTTTGCTCATCTGAACAATGCTGGGAGACACAAAATAGATAAGAAAGGGGAAACAGTAGAGTTGCCATGGAAGCCTGGCCAGAGGTCCACATGACCAATAGGAAATAGGGCAACCAACCAGACAGGACACCTCCTGTGTGCAAGTCTCACCACAGCCTGATGTCCCTGTCTGTGATAGCAACTGGCAGAGACTGACTTTCTCAATTATGAAGCAGATTATAGAAGAGAGCCCCAAACCCTTCTTCCTCTCCCATCTCACTCCCTGCTCTCCTGTAGTATATCTCAGTAGATCTGCCTTTTCTGTTCTCCACTGCCTCTGGTGAATTCATTTACCCCTGCTCTTCTGATCCAACACCCAGAGTTTCTTTCCTTGCAACATTTTGGTGGTCTGGGTGGGAAAATCAAGTACAGGACCTCATATTCCTTCTTTTGGTTACCAGTGAATTGCGAGTAAACCTTGGAGCAGCTGATCAACTAATGTTATCTCGCTGGGATACACCCAAACATTTTGGAAAGTTTTCAGATCCCCAAAAAGACCACTGTGACCTTGTAGATAGAGAAGAAAACCTTTTCTTTCTTCAAAATTCCTGGTGTGCTGTTGGGTTTGTGGATGACAACTGAAAGAAGTTAGGGTCAGCACCCTGGTTTTCCCTGCAGCAAAAAGAATTGGACTTGATGCCTTAAAATTTTGAAAGCTCCTGAATTACTTCAGTTAGTCCATCAATAAATATTTCAGTTCATACTATGTTCCAAGCACATGTACACACTATATTGATAAATATGTCAAGGTTCTTTTAAGATGCTCTCAATTTAGTGGGGGAAAAATTTAGAACATAATAAAACAAAACCACAATTGTCAAGATTTAATACTGAGAAGAGCAGTCTCATATGGAAAAAATGGATTCCACAGTCCTTAACGTCTGTTTCTGAAATTTTGCCTTCTTTTCTTTGGAAAATTCTTTCTCCTCACTACCATCTTCACCCTATGCCTGCCTTTAGTAGTAGGTTGTTAGATAATACTTTAATCATCAGGCCTAAAAGTGGATTAAAACCCTTACCCTCATTTCATGCTAGCATAGTTAGGACAACCGGAAACTTAACTGGCTACCAAGGAAGGAATTATAAAGGAATATAAGAAATATAAAAAGTCTGACTTGCAAGTAGAGATTTCTGGTGCTGTTATAATACAGAGCATGTTCCTGGAACTCACTGGCCTTATCTGAGTCTATCTTTGCTTTGTTTGTAGCTGTAATGGATCTCTAAAGAACACACCCAACTTTGCTACTTTGAGTTCTTCATTTCTCACCTTGTTTCTGGATTGTCTTTTCTGAGTGATTGCATTCTAACATTCCTTATTTGGGAACTTCCACTTAATTTTGGCTAAGATCAATGTCAGCTTCTCAGAGGCTTCCTTGTCCAGAAGCAGCTTCTTCTCCAAGTAACAAATACCAGGAGACAAGTCTCTCTAGGATGAACCCAGTCTTAGATAGGTCTTATCTTTTGCTTGTTTCTTTTCATAAAGTTTCTTTTTAATAGTTACCTCTTTCTATAAGTTCTTTTGTACGCATGTCTTAACAAAAATCAGTTCACTTAGCATTCATATAGAGTTTCAGTAACTCGTGGCAATTACTATGAGACAATTACTAGAAATTGTTCCTTACCAGGAGTTTATACTTGTACAGTGGGGAAGATGCTGGTGGGGGGTTGGGGGGGGTAGAGGATAAGTTTTGTGCTGAAAACAGGTACAGACTGCCTTCTAGGGCTCCAAATATTTCCTCTGCTTATGGTAATAGGACTTACAGGATAAAGAGTAGTTCTTGAAACTGTCAGGGTAGATGTAAGGGTATTTTAGGTAGAGGGGAAAGAAATACTGGAATGGACTTGTGAACATATTGTTAATTTTTCTGGGAACACACCTACCTTCCTCCCAAGTCTAGTAGGAAAGACCAAAACCATCTTCACAACCTCTGTCCTACATGCAGGAAGATTCATCTATTGCCTATAAAGATAAAACAGCTTTCTTCACACTCATTGATGATCTTGCAGCTAGATACAGAAGATTTAGCAATGGAGTAAAAGGTTGTGAGTTTCCAAGAACCAAGCATTTGCATCTTTGCAGATCAAGGAAGATATTCTACAAGGAAGACATTAAATATTGC